AAACGGCTCTCGGAGCAATATCCGAAGTGGAGCGCTGCAATTCAGGATTCCGCCCCCCCGCGTATTGTATTGAGGTCGAGGGTCAGGCCATTCGCGAAGAAACTGGAAGCTTCTGGCGACGGCCGAAGTTTCTCAAAGGCCTTGGTATTGCGTGCGCTGCGGGTGTGAGTGGTGCGGTCTTAGGAGGGGTGGTGTTACACCTCTGTAGACCACAAGCTGGCAGTTTGATAAGCCCAGATTCAAAGTCGTCGGGAATCATCGATCCTCTTTCAGCCTCTACATATACTCCGTCTGAGAGGCCAATGTCCAGCTCTACTGCGTCTAAGGGGCTAATTTACGGCGATGCTCCAAGCGAGGCCCTGATAAAAAACCATACTCCGTTTACTGAGGCCACGACGCACAACTACACATCGTTGTGCGATGCCCAATTCTCTCGCTTGTCAGATGCCGAACGGTACAGGTATGCTGTGTCTTGCGATTGTAAGGTCTGATCCGAGTCGGATTTGGTCGTTCATTGCAAACCCGTGGCGACCGAGTCCAGGGCTGGCACAATGTCTGCACACGAGTTGGCGTCGCTGAGAATACCCTCTGAAACATGTAAGGGCATATACGATAACAAGAAGAACGCGACGATGGTGGACGCCGCGGCGGGTGCCTGGGAGACGTTGGACTGGAACAGCTGTTTCTGGGGCGGTAAGGTGGTTTGCGTTGACGACCCCGGCGAAGACCTGAGTTGTCATTACTTCAACCATCCGTTCAAGTACGACCTCGCGAGAGTCTGGGAGGCGGTCACCCGTCACCTGAAGCCCTCCCGTTGCCTCATCACAAACAACACAGACCTAAACGAAACGGGGCTGGGGGAGGGGTTCCTCCTTACCCTGACCCGTGGATTATTTGCAGCCCAATGGATACATGCCGACCTGTCCAACACCACGCAGCAAGAGCTACACAACGAGCTAGGATTATCCTTCGGTTTACATTATGTAGACCCAGCTTGTTCCGGCAATTACAACGTTTGTCAGCTACCCAAGGACGGCTGTCGATGTGTTGAAGGTCGATTTGTTGCCCTGGCGGTGAGTCCGTAGGAGAAGGACATAGCCTGTGGCTGGGTTACAGACTTCTTTGTCACTGCTAAGGATATGAAAGAAAGCTACTCTTTGATTCGAACACCAGGCTACTCCCCAAAGCGCTGTCTATTTCACTGCCTCAACCGTTATACTAAAACGGCCAGTGAGTACAGGAACGAGCTTGCAGGTTATTGGCAACGAATTGGTAACCGTTTTGAACCCTGAGGAGCGATGCCACTACGTGAAGAGATCGAGGGATTCTTACACAAACGTTTGGCCAAGTGTGACCGGCTGAGCCGACCGACCTTTCACTACCCTACCCTGCAGAGCGACCTACCCTGGGAAGATAACGTACGGCGACGATGTGTGATCGTATAGACAACCTCAAATAAGTGGTGTTAGCAGTTCGGTTTTTGTTCGTGCAAAAATAATTAACTTGGTTGCGTCTCTGGCTACGTCTCACGCGTCGGGAACAGTGACACTGTGAGTAATCACTGGAGTAATCATGGCCGTCTCATCCTCCTCCGCGCTGGCGGGCCGCCGAGAGTGACTCGCTCACCATCCACTCTCAGCACTAACAGCGAACACCTGCTGGCGAGCCAATCGGGAGTGGGCTTTTGGTTGGTCCTAATGTTCGGTCGCTCCTCCATTGGGCACCCGCGCCACCACGACTTGCTGCAAAGGTTTTTTAGGGGGTGGCTTTACCTGGCGGTCTCTCCACGAAAGCCTCAACAGAAACGATATCCCAGCGCAGAGGCTGCGTTGGTCATCCGGATACTGTCACGCGCCAGTGCTTCTCCAGTAGCTAAGTATAACGAACTTCGTACTATCGACCGCTGGCTACAGCCATTGCTACAACAGAACTGAACTGTAAACTCGCACGTTGGGCTTTACTTCTCATCTGAAAATTACGTCGCTGACTATATTTCAAGACATGCACATGACCCAGACTTCGTTCGAGACTACGGCCCCGTTCGAAGAAGATGCCTTACAAGTCACTCTTAAGAAAGCATTACAAACTCAAGCCTCTTCCGAGACCCCACATGATCGAGGAGTTCATACCGTGGATAACGTTGTCTACTACAGAGGAGGAATTTACGTACCTCCTAACCTCCGTAAAATTTCCGATTGCCATCAACTCCCGCCCTTCTTACAACCAGGAGATAAGCGCACGAAGTCCACTATGTTCAACTGGCCGTACCTACACCAAGATGCCACCAAGTTCGTAACAGACTGCCTCACTTGTCAAAGACTACGAGACTCCCCGAAAATAGCCTATTGGAAAGCTCAAAGACCGCGAATTGTGTGTGGCCGCATCGTTCTGTCTACTTGGTCCTTGCCAAATCGATTTCACGTCATAAAGTTTAATTCGGAATGAAGGTTTCTGTTACGGTACATTCTGCTGCTGGTTTCCAGGGCCACACTGGTCTGTTCAACAAGTCGGACTTGTACGTTGAATGCCACTACGGTACCTTCCACTCATGGCACACCAAGACTGCCAAGGACGCTGGCTCCAGCGCAGATTTCGAAGAGACCTGGACCTTTGATTCCAATGACAGCCACTCCGAAATTACAATTAAAGTAGCGCGATGCCAGACATCTGAAGCTT